GTTTGTAAAACAATATTGAAAAACTGAAGCAATCTAAATGTCATACGGGGAAAATATGAGTTAATTCAGGTTATGTATACTTAATGGAATATAATGCAGCCATTAAAATCCTAACATAATAGACATATTAAGTAAGAAAACCCGGAAGAAAGTTTCACATGCACTCTGATCACAGTTACATAAAGAAGATAAATTTTGAGGAATATCCAAAAATTATACTGGATTCCTTCTCAGAAGTCAACTTTTCATGCCAAATAAACTCACCACTGAAGAAGAGAAGGACGAGGATGCTGAATACCAAGTGGAGTTCACTTTGGAAGAAACCTGTGAGGTAAAAGAATGATTATTTTTATAATTGAGAGCAGAAAATTATTAAAAATGTAGTGAATGGCTACTATATGCCTAATATTATACTAGTGTGGATATATGAAAAAGGACTTGATGTTTGTTGTTCTCAAGGGTCATATAATCTTTGAAAAGACATGAGACTAAGATACAGCAAATTGAGAAAATAAGAAACTATAATGACAGTATCCTGAATTTCTGGACAGTCCTGATTAAAAAAAATAATTTTCGCCCCGCCAGGTTGCTCAGTTGGTTGAGCATTGTCCCTGGGCATATACTTAGTGGCGAGTTCAATCCCTGGTGGTGGTGCCTATGGCAGGTAACCAATTGATGTTTCTCTTGCACATCGATGTCTGTCTCTCTTTCTATTTCCCTTCTTCTCTCTAATATCAATTAAAAATACTTTTTCTTTCATTAGTCCATATTTTCCTAATTTTTGGCCTGGAAAATGTAGTCACCATAAATCTAACAATATGAAAACACTTAGCATGGTATCCAACACAATAGGCGTTGAATGTAAGACAGTATATAACCAAGTATCAAATATAAGTATAATATGCCCATACAAATACTTAAACACAAATGTTCAGAGCAGCTTTATTTATAACAGCCCAAAACTTAGAAATATACCAAACGTCTACCATTAGATGGGTGAAGAGAGGAACTGATATGGTATATCCATACATTGGACTACGACCCAGCAATAAAAATGAATGAAACAACCTGAACAATTATACTAATTATATTGAGTAAAAGAAGTCATACATAAAAAGAGTACATACTGGATAACTCATTTATATAAAACTAGAAAATTCAAACTAATCTGTAGTGTCAGAAAGCACATCAGTGGTTACCTAAAGATGATGTGGGAGGTGGAGAGCAGAGGGTAGAGGGTAACTTTTGGGGCTATGGATATAATCATTATCTTGATTGTGATGATGTTTTCATAGGTGTATACAAATATTAAAACTTATCAAATTGTACATTTTAAATATATATAGTTTCTGTCAACTTCATTTCAATAAAGCTATTTTTTAACATGCCACATGTACTTTAGAGATTATGATTAGAATACTGGAGGAGGGTTAGTTACAATGAGTCTCTAAATCAAGCATGTCAAACTTGGGGCCTGTGGGCCACATGCAGCCCACAACAAATATTTTTGCAGCCTAGCCAATATAATGGTATGTATGAAACATTTTAATAAAATGTCATAACTTAATTTTTATAATATCCTGTTATACATAACTAGGGGCCCAGTGCACGGATTTGTGCACATTGAAAGTAAATTAATTAGAAGGTAGCCGGCTAGGCGAGATGGGCTTGACATGCCCTAGCCAACCTCCCATGGTCCCTCCTTGGCCAGCCGCACCTGGGGCAGTGCTGGGGCTCGAAGGGCGTCTGTGGAGTGAGTGGGGTCCCTCTGGCACGTGGGGACCCTCCAGCAGGTGGGGTCCCTTGGCCTGGCCTGCGGGGATTGGGCCAAAACCAGCAGCCTGACATCCCCTGAGGAGTCTTGGAGAGAGGCCACTCTGCAAAGTTGCTGTTGCTCAGCAGCTCCTGCATTAAGTGTCTGCCCCCTGGTGGTCAGTGCATGTCATAGGTACTGGCCTGTCAGCTGGTCACTTAGCTTTATATATATATATAGACTAGGGGCCCGGTGCATGAAATTGGTGCACTGGGTGTGTGTGGGAGAGTGTCCCTCAGCCCAGCCTGCCCCCTCTCACATACTGGGAGCCCTCAGGCATTGACCCCCATCACCCTCCACA